CGCGATGGCCTTCGTAATTCGCTTCGCCTTTTCCGATGAGGGTGGCAGCTTTCTAATTGCTTCCTCGATTGTTCTCTGGTCGGTAGCGCCACTAGTAGCTGCAGCAACAACAGCCTGCTGTCTCCCTGACTCCTCCGTCAGGTGGAATCGAGTTACATGGCTTCTCATGTTTGTTGTGTTGTCAAAGTATTTTATTTTAGCACGACTTACATATAACGTGGCTCTTGTCCAGTTCGCTTCCGCCGTCAACGTTGTAGAAGCCGAAGTATTTCCACACATCTGCTTTTAAATTAGAAGAAGCTGTTCAGCTCTTACAGCGAGGTGGGTAGCGGTCAGCCATGTTTGTTTTCCTCTGTGCGCGTGTCGGTGTGTCTGTTCCAGGTGCGCATCCCAAAGTGTCCCGGAGATGACACATACCGTGCTTCTTAGTTCCGCATTATTTAGAACCTTCTGTATTACTCTAATTAACAGATTTAAATAATCGAAATTTAGACGTTTGTGAATCGATTCAGATTCACAAACGTCCGAATCGCGATGCATCTAAGAATCGGAAATTTCCCCCACCCCTACTCCTTACATTATTTTGTGCATGTTAACTAAATAAAAAAATCAGGATTAGGGCTGGGTATTGTTTAAGAAATTACAATACCAGTACCCTTAAAGCCTCAGTGTGTAAAAATGGTGAGTAACAGTGACATCAGCAGTCAAATTCTAGATTGCAGCGCTCACTCGCGCTCACTCACTCACCCCTCCTGTCGGGTAAGTGACGGTGGCCTCGTAGGACAAAAAGCCTTGCGCAGATAGCAGAGTTTTTCAAACTTTCAAACTTCACATTTAAAGTGCGACAGAATCATAAAAGTACAAAGCAGGTTCACGCAGAAGCGCCCCGGATTGATCTTCTCCTTAACCGTCTCAGTGACGGCAAGTTCTAGGTAAACGCGAAAGGCGAAGCGCATATATCCCTTTCGGCCACTGTATTTAAATATGGCGACGCAAGAAGGCAGCCTCCAGCAGACCGCGCCCTGCCTATATATAGAGAAATCATTCTAAGCCATTGAGAAAGCTTCCATTTGTATGTGAATTGCATTACACTTTAGTAAATATATATTTATGAAAGCAGTAGTTGATATTTGCTAATAAACAACCACGTAAATTACATTTTGTAACTTTTAAGTATACCGATACCAATGGAGTAGTTCATTTGAAATAGTCTCTCTGAATTTTAGGCATTTATTTTCATCTGACCCCACAGACGTAGTGTAGTCATACTTTTAAATGTTTTGGTGGCATCTCTGCATGCTGAACTGCAAACTCTGTCATATAAACCATCGTAATCACATCAAAGAATGCTTATGTTGTTTGGCTGCAAGCAATATTTTCTCGATCTGGGTACAAAAAGAATATTATGCAGATATCGTTTGACTGGAGAAGTTGTAATACTACTTGTTACTTGGTTATGTTGGTCGATACCTTAAAGGTCTTGAGTATTGATACCTGGCCCTATAAAAGACTAAATGGTATATGATACACCACCATCAGTCTTTCTGTGGATGATGGCATAAAAAAGAGTCTAATCTAAACCATCAACAGTAGTGGTTTTAGTATTGCTTCCTTAGAGCCAAAGAGGGAGGATGAGCCTCTTCTATACACAGTAGACCAGAGTTCATTGCAGCAGCACATGCATTGTTTTGAATAAATGGTGCAATACAGTTTTTCTCAACTAGAAACACTCCCTGCCCATGTAATCAACAGCTGAGTGCAACGACAGGCAACGACATTCTGTAGAAGTGGAAAGGAAGTGCACTCTGGAAAATATAGGAAGTCGCTAGCTGAGGCAGAAGTACACGAGGCATGCTGAGGGAAAGTTCTCCGGTCTACCAAAAACGGTAAATTAAAGTAAATGATAGCACTTTATCACAACATGACTCCCGGAAAACTCTCACCCACACTCATTTGGAGCAATAATGAGCCTGCAGCCCAGTCTGAAGTGATACATGGAGTGAGCTGTGTTTGAGCTTAGCACCGAGAGATGAATGGAGCGCTACAGCTGCCACGACTAGCTAAATATTACACACTGAAACACACAGATACACACACGCTAACTGAGCAGAAGGGCGGAATATGTTAGGAATGTGCTCTCGGAGATGACCGACCTTCACGCGGACACACGCACCACGTTGTGCACTCAGATACACAACCGTGTGCCAAAACACACACATTTCACTTGGCATTCACACACCTCTCTGATCACATGCTGACACATTTGTACTCGACTTGAGTGAAGAGTTGCTTGTGAAGAATTGATCACGCTTCTGTGTTGCATGCATCTAATGTGGGCTGACTGACAAGGCTTTTCCACATGCACACACCTACACATACACCCTGTCTTGTGCAACAGGTCAGGATTGTTCACAAGTCAGGACGTGCATGTCGAGGATATGCCTGTCTGTTTATTGCTGCGTCTTTGCAGTGTGTGTGTTTAACATTACTAGCCAGTGAGAAAATGTGAACTCTTAGAGACAGACACACACACACACACACACACACACACACACAGGCGGCAGACAAAGTTGTAGTCTCATTACTGTGGTCTCCAAGGAGTCACCATGGCAATGGCAGAATGAAACCACGGCCTGTGGGAGAGGAGGTGTGTGTGTGCACGTATGTCTGTGTGTCCTACAGACCCAGAAGTGGTTTATTCCCCCAGGAAGTAAGTTATTCTCCACAGGCCAATCAGAGGACAAAGTTTGAGGCAGAGTTTAATCCAATTGGTCCAACGTTGCTGACCTTTATTACTCGCGGCCAATCCCAGGGGAGCGGACAGACAGCAGGGCGATGACATCACAGCCAGAGTGAAGTAATGAAGGAAGAAATGAGGAAGACATGCGTTTCAATAGTTGAGCCAAGGATAGTGACTTTATGAGTTTGTCTTTACTGTTATTTTTGGAAGGGGAATATGGGGAGAACATGGGTAAAACAAGGGCAAGGAAACAGTCACAGACTCAGACAGGGAAGAGACATAAACATGTCATGTTTTTTTTCATTAATAAAACATCTTAAGACGGGGGAAAAATGTAAATTGTGTCCTTAAAATGCACTCAATGTCACAGCAGAGCCACACAGAGATGGAGAAAAAGATGTCACATGAGTGACACGGATGTAGTAGGAAAGCTTAGGGAATGAGTGCAGGGCTAAACAAATATTTACTGTGCGTCCTCCTCTGTGTTTATGGCTCGGTTTATGACCACACTCTCCTCCTCTCATCCATCCCTCCCATTTTTGTCTCTTGCTTCGCCCTCACTTCCAAACCACGCTATCCTTCAGGTTAAGGGTGCCGTTGAGTCCTTGCTCGCTGTTATGTGGTACAACAATTTTCCTATCATCTCTTTGTGTATTTGGCTTGTTTGTATATGTTTGCATGTGTGTACATGCATATGTACATGCATGCATATTTGTTTTTGTGGCATCAGTCATGCAAATCTACTCCAAAGATGTGTCTAAGATATAATAAGTGTGTTTGTGCAGAGTTCTGCACAAGTTCTGTTTTCCACTGTCTCACACAAACACACGCTGAGTTCCCATGTCAGTGGTTGTGTTTTATGTCTAGAGACGCAGGGGAGTCTGATAAAAGTGGATTTAATGGAAGGAGGAGAGAGGTTACATGGAGCATAAACACACCAAAAACACATGTTTGTTCGTCAGGATTCCTGCTCGCTACATAAACTGCAAACTATTCACCATTTTCTGTACATGTTTCATTATTTACATTAAGGTTGAGCTGTAGAAAACAGCTACAAACTCAATCTATATTTCCTACAGGTAGATTCACAGCAGGACTGAGAGTGCACAGCAATGCCAGCAGCTCTGTGAGACGCCACTGCTGAGACATAGTGGTGCTTTGAGCTAACTGCCAACATCATGTTTTTTCCATGTTCACTGTCTTAGTTTAATGCATTAACAGTAGCTTATCAACACATAGCACAAAGTTAAACTGAGGCTGATAAGGTCTTAATCTTATGTCTTAGATGTCTTAATTAAGGCTGTCTTGTTATGATCTATTACTACCCATCATATTAATTGTCATTTTATTTCATTGTAATGATAAGACAGACTTTATAGCATTTAATTGTCATTAATTCATTTTCATTTTTTAATAATTAATATGCAACAACAACCTTATAGATTATACATTAAGGGCATGGAGAGAAAAGATAAACAGAGACTTTGCAGAGACACTTTGGAAACATGACATTTTGCAGTGGTATGTGTGATGGCTAAAGTCAGCAAGAAGACGAGGTCATGCAGACAAAGGCAAAGACAAGACCAGACAATAGCTAATTAATATGCACACACCACCAACTGTAAAGGGGTGTAAATCACTTAAAGTAACCTAAAGTTAAACCATCAAAATAACAAACATATTTGGTATATTTGGTATTTGGTTAATGTGACCTCTGTTTGTATTTGGTCAAATTTTCACCTAATGATGGCGATGTACAGAAAGTTAAGGGGTCACCAAAGCGATTACAGTTTTACCTGAAGGGGAAATAAAAGTCTGTATCAAATGCGATGGCAATCCAGTCCATAGTTTTCAAAAGACTTCACTTAAAACCTGTTAAAAGCATCACCAAAGTCAGTCAAGGACATTTTCTGGGAACTATGAATGTCTGTCCGTACAAAGTTTTGTGGCAAACCATCCTATAGTTAGTGAGATATTTCAGTCTGGACCAAAATAGTGGACAGACCAACCACACAACACCACCATCCTTACAACAACACTGCTGGCGTGGCACAGGTATGATGGTTTAGGTTTTAAAAAAAATGAGATGAACCAACTAATCCCACTGTTTCCCTTCTTTCCTTTCCCACTGTGATGCTGAATAATATACCACACTAACATATACATATATTTAGCAATTACTGATGCTAATGTTGAATTGTTGTCCCACACACACTCTGCTACTCATGAAGTGCCTGACATCTATCTGTCTGTCTTTCAGGAGGTGGAGCTCCTTGACATCAGCACCATCAGGGACACCAGAACAGGAAAATACGCCAAACTACCAAAGGTCAGTAGTGTGTGTGTGTGTGTGTGTGTGTGTGTGTGTGTGTGTGTGTGTGTGAGAGAGAGAGAGAGAGAGAGAGAGAGAGAGAGAGAGAATGACAGAGAGAAGCTGTCACCTCCTGCTGTTGATAACTTTGTCCTCAGACCAGAATTGTGATGCTCAAGTGTGACTGTCACCAAAAGATGTGTGTGTCTCCTCTCTCAGCTGACAGTGCAAAGGTGACAGGGCGCTAATGAGCCTGCTGACAGATGGGCCGTCAGACAGGAAGTGATATAACCAGTGACTGTTGGCGAGGAAGTCATTGTGTAAGAGCGTAGATCTTGCCGACAGAGACGCTAATATAAAGCCGCAGTGTTAACTTGTTGACATGGCGCAGATCTTTGGGTCAAATTGGTGAAAATACCAGAAGACAGTTTGTTGCAACAGAAGTTTACATTACTACTCTACTTACAATCTTTAATCAAACTAATGAACAATGAAATTTGGTGCTGCTTTTAATCAAGTACTACTCATCAATAACTGCAGTAAAGTCGCAGTTATTATGTAAGAAAAACTGCACGTTCAGGAGTATACACAGTGTGACATTTAGGGTTGTTATGTAAAGAGTGAATTTTGTGGTTATGATGTAGTAATGAAGTGTGCCTTTAAGACTTCTAGGTAATGTTGAAATATGGTGTTCAGAAAAAGAAAGGTAAACAAAACAAAAGTCATATCAGAGTGGTTTAAATTCTTAAAGGGCCAGTTCACCCAATTTACAAAAATACACATCTTCTCACTTATCCTGAATGGAATCTAGCCACACAGATAGCTGTGGTTTGGTTTGCCCAGGTTTTGAGATAGCAGACAGATGATGTCAGTGACTACCTGGCGAACATAGTGAAGTATTTAGCAGCTAAAAAGTGATATATTTCCCTCAGAAGTTGGTGGAGACCAATTCTGAGCTAACTACTAGTGACTATCACTTACAGTACAGGCCAAAAGTTTGGACACACCTTCTCATTCAATGCGTTTTCTTTATTTTCATGACTATTTACATTGTAGATTCTCACTGAAGGCATCAAAACTATGAATGAACACATGTGGAGTTATGTACTTAACAAAAAAAGGTGAAATAACTGAAAACATGTTTTATATTCTAGTTTCTTCAAAATAGCCACCCTTTGCTCTGATTACTGCTTTGCACACTCTTGGCATTCTCTCCATGAGCTTCAAGAGGTAGTCACCTGAAATGGTTTCCACTTCACAGGTGTGCCTTATAAGGGTTAATTAGTGGAATTTCTTGCTTTATCAATGGGGTTGGGACAATCAGTTGTGTTGTGCAGAAGTCAGGTTAATACACAGCCGACAGCCCTATTGGACAACTGTTAAAATTCATATTATGGCAAGAACCAATCAGCTAACTAAAGAAAAACGAGTGGCCATCATTACTTTAAGAAATGAAGGTCAGTCAGTCCGGAAAATTGCAAAAACTTTAAATGTGTCCCCAAGTGGAGTCGCAAAAACCATCAAGCGCTACAACCAAACTGGCACACATGAGGACCGACCCAGGAAAGGAAGACCAAGAGTCACCTCTGCTTCTGAGGATAAGTTCATCCAAGTCACCAGCCTCAGAAATCGCAAGTTAACAGCAGCTCAGATCAGAGACCAGATGAATGCCACACAGAGTTCTAGCAGCAGACCCATCTCTAGAACAACTGTTAAGAGGAGACTGCGCGAATCAGGCCTTCATGGTCAAATAGCTGCTAGGAAACCACTGCTAAGGAGAGGCAACAAGCAGAAGAGATTTGTTTGGGCCAAGAAACACAAGGAATGGACATTAGACCAGTGGAAATCTGTGCTTTGGTCTGATGAGTCCAAATTTGAGATCTTTGGTTCCAACCGCTGTGTCTTTGTGAGACGCAGAAAAGGTGAACGGATGGATTCCACATGCCTGGTTCCCACTGTGAAGCATGGAGGAGGAGGTGTGATGGTGTGGGGGTGTTTTGCTGGTGACACTGTTGGGGATTTATTCAAAATTGAAGGCACACTGAACCAGCATGGCTACCACAGCATCCTGCAGCGACATGCCATCCCATCCGGTTTGCGTTTAGTTGGACGATCATTTATTTTTCAACAGGACAATGACCCCAAACACACCTCCAGGCTGTGTAAGGGCTATTTGACCAAGAAGGAGAGTGATGGAGTGCTGCGGCAGATGACCTGGCCTCCACAGTCACCGGACCTGAACCCAATCGAGATGGTTTGGGGTGAGCTGGACCGCAGAGTGAAGTCAAAGGGGCCAACAAATGCTAAACACCTCTGGGAACTCCTTCAAGACTGTTGGAAAACCATTTCAGGTGACTACCTCTTGAAGCTCATGGAGAGAATGCCAAGAGTGTGCAAAGCAGTAATCAGAGCAAAGGGTGGCTATTTTGAAGAAACTAGAATATAAAACATGTTTTCAGTTATTTCACCTTTTTTTGTTAAGTACATAACTCCACATGTGTTCATTCATAGTTTTGATGCCTTCAGTGAGAATCTACAATGTAAATAGACATGAAAATAAAGAAAGCGCATTGAATGAGAAGGTGTGTCCAAACTTTTGGCCTGTACTGTAGTTTTTGTCAGATAGGCAGAAAAGTGACCCTAAATTAATGATCTTGATCTGTAAATAAGCAACTGATACAAGTACACCATGTCAACTTTATAAGATGATAATACTATTGATGTTCTTATTTGTGGCTTGAAGGCCAAAAATTCTGTTAATGCAGGTTGGGAAAGTTCACTAATATTTATGTTCCTGTTGCTCTGGAAAGTCCACAGAACACACTGTCAACAGTTTTATGAGGACTGTTTCTTTGGTAGAAAGGAGTTCCACAGAAAATACTGAGGTCTGTGTATTATCTCAAGTCACGTGGACACTGTTGTGTTGCCTTTGATTTTCTTGTTTCATAGTTTGAGTGCACTGATCCTTTAAACTCTCCCTTGCCGCTTGATTACAAAGTACATTTTATGCACTGCCTTGGCAATATTTTCTTGATAAACAGTCATCCGAGTTAATTTGTTTAACTGAAATGAAAGAGACGTGATAGAGAGGGAGTGATGGAGAAGATGCATAATTGATGGAGAAACACTGAGTGTTAGAGAGAGTTGGTGGCAGAGAAAGAGTGGTCTTTAAAGGAGGAAAGAGTCATTTGGTTAATTAGATCAGAGTGCTACACCACATGCATCACATTTACTGTTCTCAAGAGGCAGAGAGATGGACAAGGAGCAGGAAGGCTGGAGAGTTTGTATGCACAAGTCATTATTCTGTGTGTGTCATGCTTATATTCAGTGTCCTAAAAAGTACGTAAGTATAAAAGTTTGGGGTGGGTGTGTGTGTGTGTGTGTGTCTGTGTGTGTGTGTGTGTCTCTGTGTGTATGTGTCAGGACCCGAAGCTGCGGGAGGTGCTTGGCTGCGGCAAGGGTGACAATGTCGAAGGGAAGCTGGTAACTGTCGTCCATGGCAATGACCTGGTCAACATCTCCTTCCACAACTTCCAGGCGATGCAGGAAGATACAGCCAAGGTAACCATGGAAACCACTAGCATCCCATATCCTCTTTACCTTTCTTACTCTTGCCTTTAAAGTACCCCTCCAGACACTTTTTGACATATGTAAAAATCGCCAAAACTGCTGCTTGTGGTAGGTTTTGCGTTCACTTTCTGCTTTCTCCAACGCTTGAAAATGACTAGCGTTAGCCTTATGCTGTACTCACACTATGAGCGACACAGCAACAGGTTACAAGTCATTTTCAACAAAAGCCGGTGGTGACATGAAGACAAACTGACGTCCGACACTTGTCCCTGCGGACAGGCGTGATGTGCTACAAATTAAAAATGAGCTGGCCTTAACTTTTTAGCGCTCCAATGATACGGTGAAGCGTCAACCAGTCAAATGTTTTTGTTTCTAGCTGTGGAACTGTGTTACTTAGCTTAGTCAGCTGTCGCTATGCTGGCTTTATGTGCGTTGCAGTGCATGCAGGGATGCAACAGGGCTGCGAAATATGATGTTAGAATAGGGTTCATTTGTAGTTAATGAGCACTGATATTTTTTTGAACAGATACAAACTTAGGATGACATTTTGTCTAGGTGCTTTTTGGCAAGTAGCAAACATACACAAGCCTGTGACAACAATGAGTGTTTTAACAACACTTAAACTGAGACTTTGTGATAATGTAGCTTGTCACACAGTTGCGTTGTCACCTGTAGTGTGAACACAGCATTAGGAGAAACACAAGAGATTCAGCTATCTGACCATGACTGACCAAAATTGGTGACTAGCAGACGTATGTTATGTCTTGTTAGTATCTGTAGTACTATTTGTTCTGTTTGTTAACTTGTAGGCTAACTGGCAGTTGCTGACTCAGCATTAGTGTTTGTGAAACATACAGGTACATGTGCTATGGTGGGGTTTTTGGTAGATATTTCAAGGATGCTCCAAGGTCTGGCTTACATCCAAAAACCGTGCACTCTACCATGTTTGCTGTCAAAACTTTGACTATGCTAATGCTAATGCTAACGCTGGCTCTCTGACAAGTCCACTCTGTGCTGTAGGTTTCAGGGTTCTTTACCGTCGTTATGTCAAAGTTTGTTCCCCTATAGTTATGTGCTTACGTATAAGACAGCAATTGGCTTTCGTGTTAGTGATGTACCTACTCTAACTTGCTCGACGTACATTTATACACTTTATACGTACACTTATATGCCCCTCAGTAGAGGAATGCAAAAATGCTTCTCTAGTGATAAACTCTGCACAGACACAAGTCAGTATAGCCAAGGTCAGACATTTTTAGGCACATAAACATACTAAAAAAAAATTTTTGAATGGAGGGGGGACTTTAATTTTTCTTCCTTGATTCCTGTCATCTTTCCATCCATCTTTCGTATGTATCCCCCTCTCTCATTTGTGTCTTTCTTCAGGCCATATGCTGATTACTCACTTTACGATGTTGACATAGAGGCGTGTGTGTGTTTAGGAGTTGTAAAGAGGGATTTTTTTCCTTTGCGTGTGTGTTGTATATAGAAACACTAAGTTGACATCCTTCCCGACGAACAGTCAAACAACCCTGTTTTATCATCTCATGTGTGTTTTTTCCAGATTTGGACAGATGAGCTGTTCACTTTGGCCACAAACATACTTTCCCAGAATGCATCACGGCACACGTTCCTCCTCAAAGCGTAAGAAGCTGTGCATGTCTTATCTTGATATCAGGGAGCCTCAGATCAATGTTTTTAAAGCCTCTGTGTGTGTGTTTCAGGTACACTAAGTTAAAGCTGCAGGTGAATCAGGATGGGAAGATTCCCGTGAAGAAGTGAGAAACGCACATCAACCACTTTTTAAACTTTGTACAGAATTTAAAACGCCAGTGCCCACTTCTTCTTTCCTTTCCTCTTTGCTGACTCTCTTCCATTTTCTCTCCTCTTAAGTTCACCTCTGGTTTATCTCTGCTTACTCATGTCAGTGTAATCCTATCAGACTCTGCTGACAGTGTTTGATTTTAATGTCGAGAACAATAAACTTTGATCTGTGAATGGTTTGACTCAGTCAGCCATGATATAAAAAACCCCTTTGAACAGTGACTGTTATCTCTCCAAACTCTCTGTCCGTCTTTCAGTATTCTCAAGATGTTTTCGGATAAGAAGAGAGTGGAGACGGCTCTGGAGCAGTGTGGCCTAGTCAATAACAGGGTAATCATCAAAAGCGATCACTGACCATAGGGCTTCTCAAGATCTGCACATGTTTTGGTTCATACATGAGATTCGAGTAGTTGCAACCCATTCTCACGCCGGGGTGCTGCAAAGCATTCTTTGCATGCCTTTGCAATGTTGAGGCAAAAAAAGGCTGCAGGCAGACATTAGCTTTAAAATGTGACATTTTGAAGTTTTAGTTTTTGTCCTGGTTACACCAACAAGATATAACCTGTTGTGTGTGTGAGCTTCAGAGATGCTGTTTCAGAGAAAGGCGAGCTAGCTCCAGTCTTTGTGCTATGCTAAGCTAAGCTAAACTAACTAGGCTGCTCCTAGTACCCTCATATTAACCATACACATGAAATGGGCATCAAACATATCATCTTGAAGCAAGAAAGCAAATTAGCCTGTTTCCCCAAATGTCAAACTGTTCTTCAAGTCACACAAAAGCTAGCTATTTATTTAGAAGTCACACAGTTTTTCCTAACAAATTTGGTTTCCTAGAGGTTTCATTCATTCTTTTAAGTCCCATATTGTATTGTCAAAGCCTTTGCTTGTATCTGCAGTGTAAGGTACCTCCGGCTTGTGGTTTTGTAAGCAAAACAAGGTTTCTTGTGTGTTTTTAGTAGGTAGAATCTTTTCTAAAAATCAGTTTGGAGTCACAAGACATTTCTTTTTTTAAATAAGGGACCAGCTTGTGCCAAATGCGCAGTCAGCATTTCCCTTTGTATTGTTTTACTCTGGTGCCTCCTGCTGGTGAAATAGAAGAACACACAAAGTGGGAAATGAGAGGAGGATCTGATCCACAGCCACACAATCCTCTCTGTTCTCTTTCAGTCAGAGGGAATCAAGCCAGATGACTTCACGTGGGAGGCCTTCCAGAAGTTTCTCGACACCCTCAGTCTCCGGCCTGAGATACAAAGCATCTTTGAGGAAAGGTACGTGACACACAAATAACGCTTTTACAAAACTTTGCTGTGACTTTCCATTTCTAATCCCAGAATAAAATTCCAACCCCCACCCTAGATCCTTTAATAATGATGCTCTATAATATTATTAGGATTCTAGGTAATGCTCCCAACCTGTACCAAGTGACCAAACACACATGGTATTCAGTACACTTTTCTCTTTGCTCCAGTGGCTCCAAGAGGAAGCCATTCATCTCTCTGGACCAGTTCATGGACTTCATTAACCGCAGGCAGCGAGACTCCAGACTGAACGAGGTGCTGTACCCCCCGCTGAAGAGAGAGCAGGTCCGACAGATCATGGAGAAATATGAGACCAATGCCAGCCAGCTGGAGAGAGGTTAGTGACTCTGATTTTATATTTTGCTGTTGACATTGTCGGCATTTAGATGCAGCTTCAAGAATGTGATCCTCATAGCTGAGATATTGTAATGAAGTAATTCAGTGAATCATTGCAGCACATCTGAATCAGCTCTGCTCTTTTGCCTTTTAATGTTTTCCCCGAAGACCATCCAAGGAAGTGACCAGAATACACTGACCTTTTTGAGCCGCTGAGTCAAATAACTGCACCAAAAGATGTCACAGTCACATAAAATAATATTGTTTTGGTAGATAACAAGAGTTCAGTGTACGTGCAGCTGTATCCTTGTTTAGATTGTATCTGTTTGTCTCAAAGCAAGGTTTATCAACTGCAGCAGTACTCAGAGAATTCTAGGTTTCTAGGTCAAATTGATTTCCTGATCTTTTATTGCAGCAGGGTGTCCTTTTCTAAAATCCTTGGCCGTGGACTGACCGAGCCCACATCCATTTCCTTTCTCTGTAACACCCAGAATGTGGGAATCATTTGTGAATTTGATGACATATCCTCCACATGTGTTGCTGTGGATCAACTGTAAAACTAGGGAGTGAGCAGAGCCCTGGCTGCCGTAAGCCACTCTGCTAGGTCACCGTTAAGCCAAAATCTGTAAGATGATCCACCATACAGCCCACAGTGTTTAGAACTAAGCCAGTGTGTTGACGTCTGAAAACAGAGGCCTTTTGCTCCTCTGGCCAGTTTACTGCTAGAGCTTGCATTTAGCATGGCGTGTTGCAGTCCTTGCCCTTCAAATCAAATCAATTATTCTGATTGCCGTGAGCAGATGCTGGTCCGACTGTGAAAAACAAGTCTGACCTTTTTTGGAGTCCGTAAACACGTCCTTTCCTTCTCTCCCCCTCTCTCATGCAGACCAGATCAGTTTGCAGGCTTTCAGTCGGTACCTGGGAGGAGAGGAAAACACCATCGTACCTCCTGAGAGGCTGGACCTCATCGACGATATGAACCAACCGCTGTCCCACTATTTTATCAATTCCTCGCACAACACATACCTCACAGGTAAAAACACGCTAACAACGCGCAAAGACCTCAAAGCAAAGAAGACAAACACGCTTCATTGGAATTTCTAGCTTTATAATATATCTTTGCCTCCCTTCGTCTGTTTGCCCGTAGTGGGTCAGCTGACTGGTCTGTCGTCAGTGGAGATGTACAGGCAGGTGCTGCTGACCGGCTGTCGCTGTGTAGAGCTGGACTGCTGGAAAGGCCGGCCGCAAGACGAGGAGCCCTACATCACCCACGGGTTCACCATGACCACTGAGATCCCATTTAAGGTTACTGCTTTTTGGCATGCAGTTACCCGTGATTATTAGGTTTTTTTGTCTAATTAAATTGTGACAGCATGGTCAGGCTGAGTTTGTGTAAGTCATTGCTCTCATGTAACATTTAATGTACTGCAGCAGTTTTTTTCTTCACATAAATGTCTGTTTTTCCATTTTATATATGACTGGCACCATATAAAAGTGATTCATAAATCACCAACTCATGAAAGTTTTACATCTACACACAGGAATGTACCATATGTTTATGTTTATGGAGGCGTTAGGGTTTAGAGGTGTGCTTTATAAATGTACTTGATAGTTTATGACAAGCTGAGATGCTATTTCTCCTCTTCTAACTGTTAAAAAATCTAATAAGTATTAAGGGACCATGGTGTGTGGACCTCTGACCCTTGGTGAATTTGTGCGGTTTGGTCAGTAAATTCTTTGTGCAGTGGATTCAGATATTTTGAATATGGAGGCAGCAACCACCGACAGTTTGAACAAACACTCAGTGTCTTTATTAGTGTTGTGGCAGAGGGTGGTGGCAGTGCCATGACCTGTTGCCAAAAGCAAAAATCTGTTAAGTATTTTGGGCTTTTATTGCATTTTTTGACCTCTTTCTTTTAGCATGTATTTGGAGATTTCATTCAGAGGAGCTCCTTTTAATGTTCTGATTTTTTCCATGACTGTAGGAGGTGATCGAGGCGATAGCAGAGAGTGCTTTCAAGACCTCACCATACCCCCTCATCCTGTCTTTTGAAAACCACGTAGATTCGTAAGTCAGCACATGGATTCATCATTTATTTTTTCTCAGACTTTTTTGAGTCTTTGTAACACTGCAGTTTAGTCTGATGTATTCATAACCAGACCAGATGTAAAAGTCAAGGCTTGTATTAAAGTATTTGTCCTAAAACGTGGATGCTTGAAGACTTGTTGAGTTCTAAAAGTCCCATATTTTAAAAAAACAAACTTATTTCCATGTCTTTTTTTACTAAAAAGCAGGTATAGGTGTTATATAATACTATGAAACATCAAAACACACAGAGAAACACAGAGAAATGTGCACAGTCTATATTCAGAAACTGTGCCTTTAAACGAACCATCAGGACTTTAGTGAAGTTGTGATGTCACAACTATACTATATTGACCGGTCTATAAAGGTCGAAAATGGTGGTAGACTGCCGTTACAGTCATTCCCCAGCTGCAGCGATGGTGCAGAGACGCTGAGAGCGCAGATGCAGATGAGCAGACTGAGCTTTTAGGAGGGGTGTTTAAAGAGACAGGTGCTAAAACAGAGCATTTCAGATGGAGGGTGAATACATGAACATTCAGCCAGACAATGTGAGAACAGTGATGTGTTTTTTTTAAAAACATAAAGCATGTAAATATGTTCTAGTAGAAACCAGAATTACAGATAATGAGCATAATACGGGACCTTTAATTCAAGGGCTAATAAACTAACCTGTGTGTCTTGTTCTGTCAGGGCCAAGCAACAGGCCAAAATGGCAGAGTACTGCCGGACCATCTTTGGAGATGCCCTGCTCATCGATCCCCTAGAGAAATATCCGGTAAGACTGGTCTCCATTCAGATCTGGCGTGAACTTTGCCTTTGTTGTACTTAACTTTCAATATGCAGTACTTATTTAAAACACGTATATAGATACTTGAATTTATGCTATTATTTCAAGGTCTGTTTCAGTCTGAAATAAATGGATGATGTTAGATGATTAGATCATGTCTCACTGCTGTGTCTCAAGGCGAATTAACAACACACTAATATCCTTTGACTCCACAGTCATGGAGTTAATCAACTTGCAAACCATCAGATAGGATGAAACAGCTTGCGATACACACATCAGCTCATGATCTCCACAATTTTACACTAAGACACAGTACGTGATTCGTAGCTCATAAACCTCTCTAGTAGTTAGACTCTTTGTTTTAACCTAGAGCCTTTTTTCCAGTGAAGGCACAGAATCCTTTAAATAAAACTCAAAAATGTGTATGACCCACACCGAGTATCATAACCCCAGATTTGATTATACAGACATTTTGGGCAATTATGTCTATATATGTACGAAAGAGGCACACAATGGGGTTTGCTGAAACACACAAGTTTGCATAAATACAAAAATATAGATGATGTGAAAGCACATCTGTGTTCCAAACACACTGGTCGAGATATGCATTTTTTCATTCTAGTGTTGTCCTAAAAGTTTTTAACTACGGCAAAAAGTTAACGCAGGGTTTGCAGTGAAAGTGCAAATAGATGAAATGTAATAAATCCAATTTCTTTCCAGTTTATCGTTGTGTCTTTCCTGTGTCTTCAGCTGGACCCCGGTCAGCCCCTCCCCTCACCGCAGGAGATGATGGGGAAGATTCTCATCAAAAACAAGAAGAAACACCACCACCACCGACCCTCGAGTAGTGGCAGCATACGACGCAGAGAGCTGGAGGAGCAGTCGTCGCCCAACAATGGTGAGCGCATGTATCTGTATTGGTTTAGATTGCATTGGTTGTAATGATACAGCCAATGATGCAGCTTCTGTCATGTTTGGGGGAATGAAACTTGTATAGTCTTGGGCTAATATATACCATTTACTGCATGTAGATGTTAATAGTGTGAGTTTGCTGCTCTCTGTGTAGACTGCCCTCTGACAGACGGTGAGGGAAGCCAGCTCCTGTCTAACGGGGAGGAGAAGTTGGCTGAGAGGATGGTCAAAGACTCGGAGCCTCGTAAATCCATTGGTGGGTTGTAGAGGAAGGTGTAGATAGATATATGGATTATAAAGGCAGCCACTGTGCTCCACAGTAGCTCTTTATAATGTGCATGTATTACATCGAACAGGAGGTGAGGGAGAAAGTGAGGAGGATGAGGAGGACGAACCAGCGGCAGAGTTGAAAAAGCCAAACTCCGATGAGGTAGGAGCCACACGGGATCAGGGCTGACAGTGTGTTTGACTGGCTGACGGGCTGATTGATGGATTAGTGCTATCTGCCTCCCTCAGGGTACAGCCAGCAGTGAGGTGAACGCCACAGAGGAGATGTCGACTCTTGTCAACTACATTGAACCTGTCAAATTCAAGAGCTTCGAGGTGGCGAACAGTAAGTGTGTGTGAGTGATAAAGAGACAGGAAGATGTCCTCACTTTATGTGCAGAGGAGATATGAAGTAAAAGAAAAAAAAAGTGTGTATGAGGGCTTTGGATAAGCCTCGTTAGTTTTAAGCACCTCTCTCATGTAGCTCATTAGGCAGGCAGGCAGGCCGGCTGTACCGACTCATTTGTGGTTAATGATCAGTCTTGTCATACAGACCTGTCGCACATACATTATCTTAATCAATTCCTGTACTTGTGTCAGTTTTTCTGAGTTCTTTTTTTTTTCACGCTTTCTGTCCACCAGAGAGGAGGAAGTACTTTGAAATGTCGTCTTTTGTGGAAACGAAAGGCATGGACACCCTGAAGAGCTCCCCCATCGAGTTTGTCGAGTATCCCTGGAAGTTTGTCATTGCTTGAAAACTTGAGCTTCTTTTAAGAAATAGGGTTTATGTTGGTGTGTGTTTGAAATATTTGGTGTGTTCAAATGCTTCTTTTGTTTTGGAACCCTTTATTAGCATGGAAAGTAGAGAGTGTGAAAAAGTCTTCAAAGCTGACAAGAAAGTCTTTTGACCATAAGGGCAGACATTACAGGTGAACAGGTTGAAACTTTAAACTAACTGATGACTTTCTCAGTTGATTACTTACATTAAAGGGATTATTGTTTTCTGAAATTTTATGTTTAAATCTGCAAATGAGGTATTATATTGTTAGATATGCGCTAATTTTCATACCGCAACAGAAATCTAAACACCGGATAAAGCCAGGTTGAAAAAAAATCTTGTTTCATTTTGTTTCATTCTGTTAAGAGCCATTAAAAGAATCAATTTTCAACATGTTTTTAGGTACAAAATTTTATCTTAATCAGGCTATGATTAATATTTGAACAATCCCATTTGGAATCAGATTATATATTGGAATAAAACTATTAAGTCTGGTGTATGTAAGTGCCACCGAGGTGGAGTGAAAGATATAGTGACATCTAGTGGTGAAGTTGCAGATTGCAATAAACTGAAACTACTTCTGTGTGTCAACGGTGTGGGAGAACTACAGTGGCTGATGCGAAAACACGAATGGCCTTATCTAGAGCCAGTGATTCGTTTGTCCATTCTGGGCTACTGTAGAAACAACATGGTAAATTCTTTGGAACCAGCTCCATATGTTGAGGTAAACTTATGCTAAAGTCACGTAAACACAACAATTAGATATGAAAAGATATGTATTGTTAAATTCCATTAATTCTTCTGACACAACAGGGGAACAGGGTAAAACTTTTAACCAATAGATGTCACCATCAGACTTCCACAGGTCATTACTTACATTAAAACACTTTTTTGTATCACAAGTTGTCTGAAATGTTATGTTTAAATATGCCAGTGACACACTATTTAATTCAACATGCACATTTTGCATGATTTTCCAGAATATAAATCTGATCTAAAATAAACACCCAATGTGAATTTTGGATGTTTTCTTTCCACTAATCTTAAAGAACACATCTTAAGACAATCTTAAAAATTGACCAGGACATGAAATAAACTATTTTCACCTGTAGTGTCTCCCCCAACATGTTAAATGTCAAGTGTGCCTTCATATGCTGCAATTTACAACATGTAAGAAACTATGCACACATATGCCTCGTATACAGAGTTTGGGTCTTAACAGCACTCCTCCAGGTACAACAAAAATCAACTGAGCCGAATCTACCCTAAAGGAACAAGGGTTGACAGCTCCAACTACATGCCTCAGCTCTTCTGGAATGTCGGCTGCCAGATGGTGGCGCTAAACTTCCAGACCCTTGGTGAGTCTGCTTATTTCAGCCTCAGATGGTCAAAGTGAACACTATTCACAGAACCAAAAAACACAAATAAGGTCTTGAAAAATTTAAAGTGTTGCTTTAACTTTAACTTTAACTTAAGATACTTTAACTGTTCAAGGATCTCAATATTCATCCCTGTAAACCCCTTTCTTCCCTACCTTTCGTGCTCTTTCTCATCTCTCTCCCCCCTTTGATTCATCATCTCCCCATTCCTCTGTACCAGACCTCCCTATGCAGCTGAACATGGGTGTGTTCGAGTACAACGGCCACAGCGGCTACTTGCTGAAACCTGAGTTCATGAGAAGGACGGACAAACACTTTGACCCTTTTACAGAAAACATAGTGGACGGGATAGTTGCCAATACCATCAAAATTAGGGTAAGGACAAACATGTCATCATTTGGAAAAGTTCTGTGTAAGAGTTGTTATAATAGACATGTATAATTTAACATCCACCAGGTGATGTCAGGTCAGTTCCTGACTGATAAAAAGGTCGGTGTGTACGTGGAAGTGGACATGTTTGGCCTTCCTGCTGACACCAAGAGGAAGTACAGAACCAAAACGTCCAATGGGAACTCTCTGGACCCTGTGTGGGACGATGACATGTTTGTTTTTAATAAGGTAGGATTCAAATGTCTTTCAGATTTTTCTCTTACTCTTCACTGACTGTCCTCTGTTACATGCTCTCTAAACTTCTCCCATTAACACCCTTCTGTCTCCAGGTGGTCCTCCCTACACTGGCCTCTCTGAGGATAGCAGTGTTTGAAGAAAACGGCAAGTTTATTGGACATCGGATCCTCCCTGTGTCAGCCATTAGACCTGGTCAGTGCAGACGCAAACACCCATAAACACACTCATAATGTCAAGCATTTAGAGAAGTCTGGTTGTAACCAAACTGATGACCTGTTTACATGCTGCTTTACCTTTGCTTGTCCAGCACTAATTGACTGCAGTCATTTATTTATTTGTTTCTTCCTTCCTTCTAGGCTACCACTACATCAACCTAAAGAATGAGCTGAACCAGCCCCTCCTGCTGCCCTCGCTGCTGGTTTACACTGAAGCTCAGGACTACATCCCGAATGAACACCAGGGTAAGAACACTACATTGACAACAGCACTTTGCAGCTCCGACCTGACATCCCACTAAACCTGACCTGATCTGACTAACTTTAAACATACTTACCTTAAAGCAGTAATTTGACAATTTGAGAAATACCACTATATTTAAATGCCTTTTTCAGCTGTTTATCCATTTTCTTTTGTTAACTATTTGAACAATTTATCCATTACTTTTACAAAACAATGTTGACTTTGCGATTCTAGTTCTACTAGTTTTCAGCAGTGACGTGTGGCCGATTAAGGGAGCTGGTGTGCACACCTCCTGCAATTCAATTGTGAAATACATATTTTACTGAAAAACCGTTTTACTGTTACTCTCACATAAATCATAAATACTGCCTGTGGTATGTATGTAATGTGTTCAAATATTCCCAGTGATTGGTTGACACTGCATGCTAAAAATGACTGGTTCCGGGGTGCAACGATTTTACGACCAAGAAATGTTGCCAGATTGGTCAATTTTCTACTCTACTGGGCAGCTTTAGGAAAGATTATGTTGGTAAAAATTATTTTGGGTGGGTGGACAAAATTTTGGACTGGTTTGACATAGTAGTTTTCATATGTTTTTCAATATTTATTTTCATGTCTCGCTAAAAATGATGTCTTTGGTCCAACCTGGCAACACTGCTGTAGCTAGAAGGCTACTCAACTAGGCTGGTCAGCCACCAGAGGCGAGCTTGCTAGCATATAGCTGCTCAGATCAGCTAGTAGCAATGATGGTTGATATAGATGAAAATAGTATTGATTCACAGACATTGCAACACAAGAGTACAGGAATGTCTGTAGTACATATTTGTGAATACGGGTACATTTTGTGAACCAAAAACTATAGGGTATTGTCTACTGGTGGTCCCTGGGGACATCTGTGCTTTGACACCGCCGCCTTTGCCAGGCAACGGTGGCACACAGAGCTTCAGATCAGGGGATGAAAGCGGATGGGCAGATGATAGATCTGTGCAGAGCACCTGAACAAAAACACTGTCACATCACCGACAGTTTGATAAATACATCCAAAACACCAGATTCCCTCACAGTGGTTTCAGCCAAAATACACAAAGCTACCTACAGGGCTGTAGGACCACCTAGTGGAAAAGTCACACCATGCCACTGGTTTAGAGCAATCCTAATGCCAACACGATGGCTTTAAAGGAATAGCTTTACATTTTGAGAAATGGGCTTATTTGCTGTCTTGCTGAGACTTAGATGAGAAGATTGAAACCACTCTTTTATCTGTACAATATAAATGAATCTTATCTTAGCATAAGGACTGGAAAGGGGGAAAAAGCTACACTGACTTGAGGCTTAAAATAAAACAAATGTATTTGACTTTGACACTGTAAATTCTGGAAACATATTTATCAAAAGGAACTTGGTCTCAGCTATGTAAAATCAGGAGAAGTCTTCAGTGACCTGATGGAGTCAAACACTGCAAATCAACATCACTGCCATTTTAAAGTTAGTCAACCTTGAGTTGGAGGACTTGTGACTTGACTCGGACTTACCATAAAACACTTAAACCAACTTTGCCACTTGGCTGAAATCTATGAACTTGTGGATATCAATGACGTTAAGGCGCTCTTTGTCTTGTTTGTATGTGTGTGTGTGTGTGTGTGTGTGTGTGTGTGTGTGTTTGTGTGTATTTTCAGAATACGCAGAGGCTCTGACCAACCCCATTAAGCACATCAGTCAATTACACAAGAGAGAGACACAGCTGGCTGTTCTCATAGAGGACAACAGTGAGGTAAGACACATCTGTTCGTTGAACAATAACAGGGACGTCAGAACATGTTTGTGGGCCAAATTTCCCCACACCCCCTCGTTTATGAAATATCTGTACCCCATTAGTTAGATAGGCCGACAGTTTGTGGACTCTCAGTTACTCAATTTCATCTTCCTGTTGTTTTTGTCCAGCCTGTCCCTAACCATCCCAAAGAGGGAGAGACCAAGGGAGAGTGTGAAGTCATTCCAGGTGGTCGATTCTCTTCCCCCTTCCACACCCTCCCCCCCTGCTCACCGGACGAAGCCCCTGACATCCTCAAAGTACCTGCGCCAGGTAGAGACCTCTACACATCACACACACACAGCCACAAATACTGTCTTAATGTCTACATGTAAATGCAAACACCTGTCATTTACCTCCAAAGGGTGTTATGTTATTCTAACACACATTAGGTTGATATCACGTTAAATGATTGATACTTGTAATCTACCACTGTGAATGACTTGGTTGCCAGTTTGGTTACGAAACAAGTTTAGAGGTCAACAGCCTGCCGCAGAGAAGAGTATTATATGCTAATTCTAGCATATAATAACATGTCCATGTATGTGTCTTCACTGCACAAATACTCAAAGTTATCTTTTCACTTGTCTCCAGGAAATTCCAACAAGAAAAACGTTCTTTTTTCAGTGTTGTGAAAATCATGCATCTCCCAAATGTCACGTTTTCATGAATTAAAAACTGTTTTTTCATTTGTGAAAAACTTTTTTTTTTTTTCATTCCACTGAAGATTAACTGATGTGCTGAACTTACACTAAAGCCATGCACACTGTTTTGTTCATTGCACTGGGCACAATGAGTTTTCTGCCGGGTGTTTCTGGCTCATTGTCCCATCATCCATTTCACACACACTGTCTGTGTGCTTTTCCTGTTTGTTTTTCCACGTGTGTGTGTGTGTGTGTGTTTGTGTGTAGCACCAAATCAGAAGGAAGACCTTATAGCCACTGTGCTGGCAGGTAAGGTCATTTCTGCATTCATTCCACACCCAAATACGTGAAATCATTTGTGTGTCAGCTGCATGTAGAGAATGTATTTTATGGCCATTTTTAAATTAGACACACAAGGAATGGCTTGGTGTCAGCTAGATGTACAATTGTACATCACAATGATTATTGGCCTCCATACTAACTCTCTTTCTGTCTATCTGTCTCTCAGACATCCAGGCCCAGTCTATAGAGGAGCTGAGGCAGCAGAAGAGTTATGTGAAGCTGCTAAAGAAACAAAGCAAAGAGCTCAAAGAGATGCGTAAGAAACATCTCAAGAAGGTACGCTCACAGACACAGTGGAAACACACCTATTTTGATCCGTATGCATTTTTCACTGCACTTGTTGGAATATTTCAGCTCTGCATAGAAACTGGATATGAAAAGTCCCCTGTGTTGGCAGAAGATACAGAAATATCTTTTTTTATTGTGCTCTGGAAAATAAGTTGGTTTTTTGCTTGTGTGTGTTTGCAGGTGTGGAATCTGAGCAAGGAGCAGAAGAGTCGGACTAGCCAGCTTCAGTCTGACACCCAGAGGAAACGCAGTCAGATGGAGAAGCACCTCAAACGTAGCATCAAGAAAAAGTAAGGATGGATGGCTTTATGCTGTGCATAAAGTGGAAAGAGATCTCAAGAAGTACCAGTAAAGGAGAGAGGAAAGGGGGAACAGATATGATGAAATACTTAGATAGATTGATGATGCAAAGATAGATAGGTGGTAACTAAACCTGACCTTTTGTGTGTGTGTGTTCAGCGAGCCCTATGAGCCAGTGCAGCGTGAGCTGACGGCGCTGGATCAGGAGCTTGAGAAGCAGACGGTCCAGCTGAGGGAATGGCAGATGCAAGAACTGCTGAAGCTCCGACAGCAGCTCCACTCGCTGGAGAGAGAGAAGCAACAAATACACCTGCAGGAGGTAATGACACACACCTGTGTATTAACGCGTCAGTGCACTCCCCCCAATCTTTGCACACTTAGACATACTCAAGGTGACACACTTGGAATAACACTGTATCCCTCCCTTGAATTCTTAAATACTCGTACACTCACACAGAGTTAATCGTTCGCTGACCTCTAAGAAACTTTATGGCGCTACTGTACATCTGCGCAGTGATTCGTTGACAAGTCGTCGTCTGCTGTGGTGTGTTTTTAGGCCTTCCAGAAGTTAAAGGAGACGGCGAGTGAATGCCAAGCAGCTCAGCTGAAGAAGCTCAAGGAGACGTGTGAGAAGTAAGTGCAGCTGTCTCACCTTGCACGGCCGAACAAGAAAAGTTGGGACAGGACACAGAAGTCATTGCCAGAGTGACTTTCTGCTTTAAGTAATTATTGTAGTATATTTAAAGGTCCAGTGTGTGGGATTTAGGAAACTGTTTTATTAAGTGTTTTTATTGATTTAAATCACCTGGTCCATTCATTTTGAAGCGAAGGAGACCTCTGCGGATAATTCAGCTCCTGGTAAAAACCTCCCTAACATTTGGATTTTAAGTTATCGGGAGAAAAAAGGTGAGCACACATTAGTAGGTGCTGGGCAAGCCTGTCTGCAAAGTGCCGAACAGTGTCAGAGAAACACTGATTTGCAATGTGAAACTGCTTTATTCAGTGTTTTTACTGGTTTAAATCACAGTCTGAGGAGGAGACCTCTGCTGAGAATTCGGCTCCCAGTAAAAACCCCCTGAACAATGAACACTGAAGGAAATTTAACCAGGAGAAGTTTTAGCTGGTTGCAATTTGCGTTCCTTCACCACTAGATGGCACTAAATTTAATCATACACACTGGACCTTTAAGTCTCAGTGTACGCCATAGGGCTAAAGCTATTTCTTTTTACGCCAGGTGACTTTGATTCCTAGATGTGTCTGGGTTTTTTTTTCAGTAACATTCACAAAAAAGTCCTCTGTGAATTTTGCAATTTCTTGTGATGTCATTGTATTTGCAGGGAGAAGAAAGAGCTCCAGAAGATCCTGGACAGGAAGCGTCAAAACAGCATCAGTGAAGCCAAGAGCCGCGACAAAGACAAGGCTGAAACGTAATCAACCTTTTCATTGGATATTGGATCAGTCAGACCTTATTTTGGTTCTGCCTTTCATCATTTTCCTTTTATTTTTCTCGCTCTTTCTCCTCCTATCCCTCTCTGTAGGGACCTGAATGAGATCAACAGGAAACATATTCAAGATTCTGTCTCCCTAATCCGCGGGGTAAGTATCCACTCTAACACGCACACACACACTCTTATCACCAGCAGTCCTTGAGGATTTATCTACTTCATAGTACATTTTTCTGCCATTGTCATCAACTTTACTCCACTCTTCTCACACACTATCTTCTTTTCCCTTCCTCCCTTATTCGCCAATATTCGCCTCTTAATCCACGTTGCCATCCTTCCTTTTCTTATCCCTATGTTTTCCTTTTTGACTGTTTTATCCTAAAATCGCCTCCTACATACCTCTCCTGCCATTTCATTCCTCCACATGCAACTCCCCTCAAATCTTACTCCCACTGACCCTTTCCTTTTTCCTTCCTAAATCTTCCTCCCTTCCTCGCACTCCAGCTGGAGGAGGCTCAGACCAGGAGACAGGAAAAGCTAACACTGAGACAACGGGAGGTGCTGCAACACTTAGATGATGAACTTCCACAGGTGAGCAGAAAACACATCGACTCACACACACACATTGAAGTGCTTGAATATACTCTAACACTTTCCCGGTGTTTCTCATGCAGCTCCAGTCTCAGCTGGAGAGGGACCTGGAGCAGGAGCATCAGCGACTACCAGAGGAAATCTGCGAGCACCTTCAGCTGGAGCTCCAAAACAAAGGTCTCCGAAAAGACGCCCTGTTCTCGCCCTTGTCCAATCACAGCAGCCCCAGCTCCGGCTCGGGCCCGCCCTCCAACTGCTCCACGCCCTCGTACCCGTCGACGCCCAATCGGAGCAGCTGGAACAGGAGCATGGACAATAGCATGGCCTCACTGGCAGATTCCACTTCCTCGTCCACCACTCCCGTCCTGTCAGAGGCGGAGATGTCGTTCAGTTAAAACTATTACTTGTAAAAAAGAAAATACATACAGTACATTCAACTGGGGTCTATAATGATTATAATGTGGGATAGTAATGATATTAATTATTTACTAATTTTATTCCTTTTTTATTACAGACTGTTTTTGTTCTTGTCTACAGAGCTATATTATTTTTTATTTTGCTGTTTTTGTCAGATGCACATCATGACTTTTGTTGGAAGATTTCATAAGAATCATAACCAAACTTTTTTTTAACCTTTTTTACATTTTGTCTCTGTCTTTTTAACGTCATGTTCTTCGAGATCTTTTTCTTAGCATTGTTTCCATGTTTGTCTGCTCAGTAAGTGTTGATGTGGTTTATCGCCACACCACGAGCTTCATGTTCACACTGTTTTTACGAAAGCTTTCTGTTTGTAACAGCTTTAACAACTTTATTGATACCTTTTGAAAGCTTTAAACAGTGTAGAGAGAGAAGCGGGGTTAGATAACGGCTGCTTTTGCTCAGAAGAACATTGTGACATACATACACCTGGCCCAAGCGTTTAATCTTAATGGTAAGAAAAAGTCTCACTGCAAATTTTTGATTTTTGGTTTGGAGCAATGTTAGACCTATTGCTTTATAAAGGCCTCACATTCTACACATAGATGAGGAACTATTTAAAAACTACACATCCTTTCCACCTTCTCAAGTAAAAAGGTAAAGGTTAGAGACATATTTTCCAGAATTGAGTATCAAGAGGGAAAATAAGGCAGAATTTTTTTAGAGACTTTAAAAAAAAACCCTGACGTTTCAGCTGTAATGGCAGTAGCTGACCAGCAGGCGGTGCTGCAGCATTTGCTGTGTAATCTAAATTGGTGGTTTGAACTTTCCATTCATGCCTGATTATCCTATTATACTGTACCCTGACACACACTCACTCACACACCTGTCTCAGCAGGATCTGCAGCGTCATTGGTTGGGGAAAAAAAATCTCTGGCCTTTAACCTCCGATCGAAATCCAGCCAAGGTCGCATGGGGGGCGGTCAGCAGACATCCATCTGGCTAGAAACAAGTGTGTGTGTGTGGGTGTGTGTGTGTGTGTGTGTGTGTGTGTGTGTGGGTGGGTGTGTGTGTTTGAGGGTAAAGAATGGTGGGTTTTAGTGACGCAACACTCACTTTCGCACACATTCCCCACACTGTATATCTACTGAGGCCTCTATGAAAGTTATGTCCACACATAGTGGTATGCCACACACACACACACGGACACAGTTTATTAGTTCAGTGGCCAAAAGCTGGTAAAATCCTCATCCCATCCAATCTAACCCCGTTTGAAAACAGGACACGCACACACACATTCGGGAAGAACCTCAGTAATTTTACAAATATCGCAGATTATGAGACTCTGCATGGCAGTGTGTGTGTGTGTGTGTGTGTGTGCGTGTGTGTGTGTGTGTGTGTGTGTGTGTGTGTGTGTGTGTGGCCAGAAGTTAATCTCTTGATGAGACATCTGCTCTTGCCCACTAAATGGAAAGAGTCCGCTCAGTGTTTGTGTGTGTGTACATGTTTGTTATGGCAGTTAGCTTGCCACTTTTGCAGCCTAGAGAAAGACATTGTGCTTAAATAGCAACGCTGCTGTAGGAGACAGTCTTCAGATGACGACTTAAAGCTGCACTATGACGTTTAAAGTAAAAATGCACTCGAAATTTGGAGTCTGAATCCCCAAATAAGGCAAACACATGAGGGTATTCACTTGACTTCTAATCACAACACTGTAGATTTGCTCAATTTAACAAGTTCTAATTGTTGTAGTGTAAGATAATGTGGTAAGAAGTCCTGTCACAGTTTAATTTAACTGAAGCCTCAAAATTCAAAGAGTTACCTCTTATCGCCATCATGTGTTGGTATGAAAAACAGTTCTCGTTTCCAGAATTACCAATGGACAAAGGAACAGCTTATTTGCATTTTATTTTAGGGTAAATATGCCCTTAAAACATCCCACACAATCTCTTATATACTCCATTTATGCCAAATATTGAATGTTTGAACGGTACTTTAAGTTAAAATTCTATGTTTCTGTCTCTGTTGAAGCTTCCTAGCTCTTTTTTTTCATCCATTACTGGAGACTTTTTTAACGGCACAATGTTTTTTTTCTTTCTCGTCTTGTCTGCTTTGAGGGGTAAAATGATGGCACTCTGTGTTTATGTATTCTGTTTATATGTGTAGCTTTATGTGAATTTTACTACTGACCACAAGTGCTGGAGAGGGATGGAGGTCAGGAGAGGTAAAGGAAGGTTGAGGGGAGTATTTTAATTTCTACTTTTTCCACAAAGAAAAGATTGTTTTTTTGTTTTTTAGATGAGATTCAGTGATTCCTATCTTGTCCTCTCCCACCTCCCTCCTTCAATAAGCACTGGCTGCCTGTCTGTCTGATTGTTCCCCCTCTCACACAGCCTTTGTAAACTCTCATCTGTTTAAATGGAATTTTAACAACTTTTTCTTTTGTGGTTATTTAAGTTTTTATTGATGGAAGAAAGGGTCCATTCATTCAGTGAACAATTTGCCGAGTGTAAAAGGTTTTCATACTTCAAACTCTCATTACAGATTCATTTACAGAGCTCAGCTCCTTCAGGTTGGACACCATAAAGAAAGCAACTTGTTGGTTTAACTTATAAGTCATTAGTAGGACAGCAACAACAACATACGCCTGATGGGGTCAGCACTTTGTTTAAATTATTACGCTGACTTTTTGATCTCTGGTAATTTAACAATCGATGATTTCCAGCCTGTTCACCTCTGGCTGTCCTGCACTCACTGTGCCACACTGCATACAGTATGTAAATGGTTTTGCTCATCTATCTTAGTTTGGACACTAATATATACAGTGTGAGTATGTTCTTTATGCAGCAGGGTTTAAACAGCCACCAGTCTTTTCAAACCAAAAGGTTTATTTTCTAAGAAAGTCAAATACATTCCTTGCTAGTCCAAGCCATTCCTAGTCCTGTGGCAAGTATTCAGTAACATTTGTACATTATTACCAGGTACTCAGAGGTATTTCTCTCTCTCTTAGAGGTGAAGCATCCCATTTTACTACAACCCTTTTTTGATTTTTCTTTTATTTTTGTGTAAAGTTACAGCAGTTGTTTATTTTTATGAGGTACAGTGGCTGTTTGCAAAAGAGTCAATGAGCACATTTTACTCAAGACAGTTTTTTCTTTGCACTTTGAGCTTTTTTTTTTTATTTGGTACTATTCCCACAGATGCTGATGTGTGAGGAAGTGATAGAAGACAAAAATAAAAAATTGTCTACTATATACAGTTCTAAAAGGAAAAATACTGGAAGACAGAAATACTTCAGATATCTGAAGGTGTTTGACATGTGAACGCATGCTGTTCTAGAAAGTCCCCAGTGGCTTTGAATTTAGATGGAGAGTGTCTTTAGATCACGAAAAACAAACCAACATTTTGGAACTGTATAGACAATATTTACTTTGTGCTGGGGGATAAAGATGATGTCTGTCTAGCTGTAATCAGTCCAATATAGGTTCACAGAGTAAATGGCATTTTGGGAGTTTGACGAGAATCAACACCAGATTGATCCGTCACCCGTTAGGTCAAATAGCTTAAAGCAGTGGCGGAGCACGGGGTGAGGGTGGGGGCTTCTTAAGAGCTGAATCTTTTAGGTTTTTAAAAACCCCTTCAGCTTTGTGTCGTTTCCCCTCAGTCTCTCTTCCTGGACTGGCAAATCAAAGGAGCAAAAGTTTTATTACTTTTTATTGGTGATACTGTTTACACCAAATTCCTAACCTACCTATCATGTTACTTAAAAATACACAGATAACAGACAATTTTAGCCTCTTTCTTAGGTGGTAGGAATGAAAATTAGAATGGTGACGACAATAGGAAAACAAATACAGGATGATATAATCAATCTATCATCTCAAATGGCTTTAAAATTAGTTCATAAATGGGAAAAACAAGTTCTCCTTGGGGGAGGATAGCCCTGGACCCCCTAGGTTTGGGCTGAGCCCCAAATGTTTACAATGCGTGGCTCCGCCCCTGCTGGAAAGTAGTGACAATATGTCAATGAGCGGCTTTAATAGGCGACTGCATCATTAGTTAGACATAATGACTTAATTCATTGGTAAAATACCCAAAAGACCTATCATTTAAATGCTACAGTTAATTAGTTTATTTTATTGTGGAGCTGTTGATTGATATCAGAGTGAAAGCTGTACTTATTAATGTTTTTATTTTAACAATGGATTGATTCTTGTGTGATATAGTGACAAACCCACAGAGAATTATCACACAACTGCAGTTCCCCCAGTTTAGTTTTTGTCACTCTCACTGTGATTACTCAGCATTACTTAACACACTACATGCTAAATCATTAGCATGTGCACTGTACAGTACATGTAGTGCTGTCTAGCAGTTACAGAGTTAAACACTTGTCAGGCTTGTGCAAAATGGGTCAAACTCCCAAGAAGCCATTATGCTCTTTTAAAACATAATTCTGTGGACAGGTATTGGGATCTATCAGCTGCTTTTGAATCTATTGACTTAAAGTGTAAACCATGGCAGTAAAAGTTCTCTTTTCCTTGGTGCTTGTTCAGATTTGGCCTGTGCAGCTTTGGCACACACTCGCACACAGAGAGACGAGAGAAAAGTCAGTATGCTAGTGCCGTTAGCCAGTTTCCTTCCCACCAGAATGGAGCCTGGGGGTTGTTTCTTGTCAGCCGTGAGCTCTAACCTCTGTTATTTCTGTCCTGTTTATGTTGAAAACACTCATTTAAACAGACACGCACAATATCATACTCTGACACAAACACAGCAGCGTACCATTAGACACTATGCTCACTTCAGCGTTACACACATAAACACTCCTTGACTTTACTCTTATTAGACATTTGGTGTGACTAGTCCCCCTTAGGCCCACCCTGAGGCCTCTGGCTGTCATGTCTTCTTTCCCTCTCTTTTGCCTTCCTCTCTCTGCCCCACTGTCCCATTTCCTCCGCCTCACTTTGACTCAATAAAGAGACCATCTTTTACTTTTGGACTAGTTAAATTAAATAAAAGCATCAACTGTGTGTGTACACTTCAGGTAGTGGAAAAAGCATGCAATATACATTAGTCTAGATGTGAAGTGAGGTTTGTTGACACTGTATATGTGTATATGACTGTCTGATATAAGGGAATACTATACAATGATCCAGATGTAATATTTTATTCATAATTAATATAAAATATATGACTGAACACTCAGTAATAAACTTAAAACTTCCTGTTACATGTGTGTGTGTGTTTTGTTTTTTCAGAACTTAAGATAGGTGCAATATTTTCATCATACTATACTAACTATACTATGACTTTTTTGGCACACTAAACTACAAAATATTTGCTGGCATATTTAACTGACTTTTTTGGCTTTTGTTGGCATAATATACAGTGGCATATGACTATGATGTTTTTTCTTGTCATAATCATACCACATCATACCAGCATTGGCATATTCTTATATTTCACCAGCATACTAAACTATGAGTTTTGATGGCGTACAATACTATAATATGGCTAGGTTTCAGCATTCACTTAAGCATAATATACTATGACATTTTATTGGCATACTATCCTAGGACATGTTTGGCATAATATACCACAGTGCATTTGTTGGCATATTTTACTTTTTTTGGCATACCATACTATGACTTTCTTGGCACACTTCGCTGTGACATTTTATTGGAATACTTAACTATGGGTTTTTGGCATACTATACTATTAGTCTATTTTGGCATGCTTTACTGTGACCATTTTGTATTTTTTTGACATAATATCCAATGACATTTTTTACTAAACAATCACAGTTTAATGGCATAATTTACTATAACTTTTGGCATACTAGACCATGACAATTTTAAGGTACACTTTACTGTAACTATTTTTTGGCACAGTATACTATTACATTTTTTGGCTTGCTATGCTATGACTTTTTTTTTTTGGCATCTTAACTATGACATCTTTGGCATGTTTTCTTAATGCCATACTTACTGACTTTGTTGGTGACCAATACTATGACATTAAATAGAAATAATACTATGCTTTTTTTTTTTTTTTTTTTTTAAATTTTTGACAAACTGAACTATGACACATTTGTTGGCATATTTCACTGTTTTGTTTTGATTTTGTTGTTTGTTTTGACATGTTTCAGCATTCATTTTGGCATACTATACTATGATATTTTATTGGCATACTATCCTATTACATTTTTTGGCACAAAATACAATGACAATTTGACCATTTTACAACAATACTATACTATGACATTTTTGGGCATTATATATTAGAAGTTTTTTTTTTCTTTTAATTTTTGGCATGACATATTTGTCGGCATATTTTTCTGTGATGTTGTTTTTGGCTTTTATTGGCATACTATACAATGACTATGTTTTGGTTTAAATTTTTGGCATACTATACTATGATTTTTTTCTTGGCTTTTTTTCAGCATACCAATTTGATACTAGTACTATGACATAATTTTGGCATTCTTTACTACTACATGTTATCAGCATATTATGCTATGACTTTTTTTTTAAACCTTACTATCACAGTTTATTGTCATACTAAACTATGACTCTTTGTTTTTTTGAATACTATACTATGACATCTTTTTGGCATAGCATACTATAAATCTTTTTGGGGGGCATACTTGCCCTTACTTTTTTTTGTTGCATAAATTACTATTACATTTTGACATGCCTATTTTTGCTTTTTTTTGATACTATACTAGTATTTTTTGTCATTTTATAATATGAAATATTTTTTGGCATATTTTACTATGACATTTTTTTTGACAAACAGAACTATCAAGTTTTTTTGGCATACTATGCTATGATCTATGTTTTGGCATATTCTACTACATCTTTTTCCCCCCACATTTTGGCATACTATCCAATGACAGTTTTTTGGCATACTATACTATTATATTTTATTGGCACATAAAACTAATTTTTTGGGCATACAATACTGAAATATGACATTTAATTGGCATACTATATGTTTATTATTAGAGCTTTTCTAAGCATACATTACCATTTTATTTTTTATGCATACTATAATATTACAGTTCTTTTTAACAAGACCTTTTTAACATTTCTGGCATAAAATACGGTTAATTGCCATACTATGCCATGACTTTGACCATAGAATGACTTTTTTTTTTTTTTTTACTATACTATTGCATTATTTTGGTATAGAATGCTATGCATTTTTTTGGGGGGGGGGCATTTTGGGCATACTATCCCATTTTAGCATCCACTTTGGCATACTATACTATGACAGTTTTACTGACTTTTCTTGGTATAGTATAACATTATTTATTTGTTGAGATATTTTACCATGACTTTTTGGCAAATATTTGGCATACTGTAGTGTATTATTTTGCTGGCATACTAAAGTACAACATTTTTGGGCCTCCTACACTTTCCTATTCTATATTTTTGGCACACTAAACTCTAACCTTACTGCATTTCTTGGGCATACTTTACGGTGACATGTTCTTCAGAAAACTACAATATGACTATGTTGGTGGCATATTATACTATGACTTTTTTTGGATTTTTTTTTAGCAAACTATACTATCATAATTTATGGCATACTGTAGGGTAAATACAGTACTTACAGCACACAATACTTTGACGTTTTATTGGTATACTATAGTATGACGTTATGACGTCCTAAACAATGACTTATTTTGGCATACTATACTATGACATATTTGTTGGCGCAATATAGTATAACTTTTTCATGACATTTATTTTTCGTATACTATGCTATAACTTTTTGGCATACTATACAATTGCTTTGTTTAGGCATTCAATACTTTTTTTTCATACTTTACTATGACATTTTTGGCATTTGTTGGCAAACAATACTATAACTTTTGATTGGCATACCATCCTATGACTTTTTCATGGCATTTATTTCATGTACTATACCATGACTTTTTTAGCATACTCTACCATGGCTTTGTTTTGGCAGACTATACTATTTTATTTTCATATTTTACCATGACCTTTTGGGTATTTTTCAGCATACAACACAATGGTGTTTTATTAGTATTCTTTCCGATGACTTTTTTTTGGGCAAACCATGGCATTATTTTTAGAATGTGATAGTAGGACATTTTTGGCATACTATATCATGACAATTTATTTACACACTAAACTAAACTATAAGTTTTTTTTGTTTGTTTTGTTTTTTTGCATTTTTCAACAATATTATAACTTTTATTGCCATACAATAGTATGGCTTTTAATATATAT